ACCTTTCCACGTCACCGCGGATGATGTTTCGGTGCCTGTCGGGCGCCTCGAGGTCGACTACATCTCGGGACATCCNCCGTACGAGACGGACGACTTGCCGCAATCTCTACCCGCCGAGCTTTCGCGCCATGTTCTGCACTCCTTCGGAGATAAATGTCAACCTTTCCACGTCACCGCGGATGATGTTTCGGTGCCTGTCGGGCGCCTCGAGGTCGACTACATCTCGGGACATCCACTGGTGCGGGGCCGTAGCGGCGTTCTCGCTGTCCTGTACCAGACGCATTGGGTAGGCCTGACTACTCCTTCATGGGAACGGGAATCCGACCTTGATCTATTCCGTCGACACATCTTCTTGTACTGGTCCCGCAGGTCTGCCAAAGCAAGCAGGGTAGCCGTACATATCGAGTGGCTCGGACTCGCGCGGCACAGCGGGAGCTAGCCCGGAATCGTGGAGAACGCTATTTGCCCACTGGGGCTGATCTTGTGCTTCACGCGACTTGGCTTCGTCGTTTCAGCCCTTCGCCCCTCCCTGTTGGCGCGCGGCTGTGGTACAAGGCCCGTGATGGATCGTGGTGGACCTGACGTATTGGTGCTCATCAGGGCGGCTCGTACATCGTTCGATTCTTGGATGACCCGGGCCCAAGCGTTCTCCCTCTGCCTGCGCACCCCTACTCCACCGCCTTGGACGCCGTCTGTGGATCATGGTGTATAGAGAAACACCGTTCGCGCCCTCTGGACGACAACCGTGGTCGCACTCCGCTCCTTGCTGACTCCTTACCGTCGGCTGTTCCCACCATTTCTTCTTAGCGTCGTCGTTTTCATATACCATTCGGCCTATTTTGGTCTTTCGTGCCGTCCTTCTCGCCGACGTTTTTTTTTTTTTCTGTCACCTTCCGTTTTGTTTTGTTTGTTTGTTTTCTGTCCTGTCTCTTTTCTTTTGCTGGCTTATTTTTTTTTTGGACGCTGGGGCAACGCCGCCTCAAGACACGCAGTGTCGAGTGATCCTTCTTCCTTGTTGCCTGCATTCGTCTGAATCAGTGAACTGCCGCGACCTGGATGTCCGTTCTCTCTCGCCTTTGCTTAATTTTTGTTGTTGTTGTTGCTCTTTGGTTCTCTCGACAGGCTCCCTCCAAAGTTTCCTCAGTATTTTGCCTCTGAACACTTGAAAGAAGAGTTCCCCAAGTTTCGTCGGTGTTGTTTGCCTCTGAACACTTAGAAAAATGCTCCCCAAGTGTCGTCGGTGTTGTTGCCTCGAGACACTTGGACACCGAGTTCCCCGCGTCTTCCTGGTCATACTATTTGCCAACTAATGTTTGTCTTAATTTTTTTTGTTTGTTTTAGCTCCATCGTGCCGCAGTAGTGTCGCATACGCTTGGTGCTCCGGGATTCCATCCCGTGGCGTCGCCTTCTCTCGTGGATTTTCGTCGTCACCCACACTTCGTTCGGCTTCGTCTCCATCATCGCCACCTTCGGGCGACGCCTTCATCACAGTCGCGCTCCTGAGTCGTCGTCTGTGTTGTATGTCTTTGATGCGTATCGCCAGCGAGCCATGGCGCATTTCGTCAGGCCGCCTCTCTTGCATTAATCGATTATGCTTTGCGTCCTTGGTCCTCATTAGGTCTTGCCCTTGCCGTCTCCTTACACGAGTTGGGTACCCTGGCACGCTGGCAATCGTTTTCCGTGCCATTGCCTGTCGTTCTTTTCTCCAGCCCTTGGTTGACGTTGTCCTAGATTGCATTGAGTTTTCCCTTTGCGTCGCGTCCAGTATCAAAGGCCGTATTCGTTCGGAAATTTGTTTGGGTTTTGCGTTTCGTCACCGTATTTTGGACTCTCTCGGGTAGTCAACCTCATTCCTCCAGCGGTGATACGCGCGGGTGCGCGTAAAAGAGTGGTGTGTGGCGTTTGGACATTGATTTTGTTTCCTCTGTCGTCGTCTGTGAGGATGATAGCGTGCTCTGCCGCAATATATATTCTTCGTAGCTTTATCCCTTCAGGCGTTGTCATTGAGATGTCGATGTTTCGTCTCGTGACCGTTCGCACTCTTCATCTCAATGATGGTGTGGGGGGTGGATTCGGGATATTTCTACAACTCACCCTCCTTTTGGATGTTTTGTGAAGAGTCATATCTTCGATTCATGATAATAAATCATCAGCTAAATCTTACTGCTGTAGCTATGGGATTTGAGCATTGAATTGAGTATAGAATCTGCATATATGACATTCAGGGCGGGCTAGTGTTAAGGAGTGCGGCTGCTAGCATGAATAAGGTACATCTTATTGTTGATAGGATGCGGGTCGGTCAGGAGGTATACCCTGCTGACCCCTACCTCCTTAGAAATTATCTACTCTGTGTACCCCCTGAGATGAAGTTGGATCCCCACTCCATCTCAAACCCTTGCTGATCGTCTCTCAGCAATAACAAGCAACTTTCCCATCTCAACGTGGTCGTGGACAAGCGTGTCAACGACAGAACCTTCATCTATCTCTCGGAGCAAGCTACCGCCCACGGCTTCACCTCCTTTAAACATGCATCGAAATGCTATACACAGAAAATATATTGGTTATACTATACCACACTATTTCCTAGATATATCTATGTATACGGTATATAACAGCCCCCCACCTCTCCACCTGATCTGGTCCCTAATCAAGTTTGGGGGTGTGCTTCACGTGTTTGAATCCACGTGCCCTCTTGAGAGCGTAGGAAAGGGGCTCGATTGATGGGAAGGGCGGGCAATCTTGGAAGAAGAGAGAGACAATAATGCAATTGCATTCGAATTTACGAGATCGGGCGCGACGTGTGTATTGGAGATGGCCATTAATGGTACGTTAGAACGTTGATAGCTCGAGGAGAGAAGAAGGGCGTAGCAAGGAACACATAATAATGTGTTTGTTTTGTTTTGCGCACGCATGCTATGAACTGAACATTTGTCACGAAAATACGTGGGCAAAGCGGAAAAAAACACAACGTGAAATACGTTGTTTTCCATTGTATATACATACATACGCAAGTACGGAGTCGGCCAATCGAAACCTACTTTTACTTGCTCCCCGAGTAGTACAAGTTGCAGCCAGATAGATACTTCGAAGTTGGTTGCAGGACGGCGAAGAGGCGGCCCCCCGGGAATGACCATGGCTGAATACCAAGATTTCTCCTCTCTTCACCGTGAAGTTGTACAGATGGCGCTCGCACTTAAGAACTTAGACTAGCAGTTAAGCATGCAGCCTCGAAAAATTCAGAATTTAAGAACGACTTGACCATAAGAACACGTGCTTTGTTCCGACGTGGTATAAAGAACAAGAACCCGTACTATTGCACCAAAAAGCGCTTACGGATAAGAACAAACCCCTCAAAAGTGGCAGCTGCAAGATGATAAGAACTCATGAAGGTGGTGAGGGGTGACTCACGGGGCGTCCGGTGACCCCACCCACCGGCAGTTTCAGATCAGCGACGAGGAGGGTAATGTCCGTTTCAAATAATTATGGTGCGGAGGGGGAGGGGGGGGGGCAAACTCTTATGTTGTGCATATCTTGGTGGTTAGACCATTGGCCACGCGCCCTCGAGAAGACGGAGTATCGTTCCCACACAGGACCAAAGACCGATGGCCAATCGCTCCCTCCAACTTTACCAACACTGGTGTCTCAAAAATGTTTTCCCTAGCCTGTCTGTCCTATCGATATCACTTACCGCCTCTTCAACCAACCACGTTCTATGCCCCAGTACAGTACAGCTACCGTCTTGTCTCCTAGCTGGCATTCCATGCCTCAAACATCGCCCTGTATCTTCCTTTTACTTTTCCCTAGGCTCAACGTTAAACCTCGTCCCTTTGTACAAAAGACATTCCGCAGCTACATGAACCCGGTGTTCGCGCTCGGAGCCGCTTTCACGTCTTACCTTGGTCGGTGCGGAGGTTAGGGGGGGCAGGGGGGGGGTAGGTGCTAGCTTTGTTGTACAAGGCATACCCCTCGTCGCGTGTCATTGGGTTTCCTGCCACGCTGCGTGCCATGCACGAGAGCCATGTTTTTACCCTTGAAATATTGAAAGAGCTCGGCCAGCTGTCAAAGTTGAAAGGAGGTGTAATTCTTGATCAACACTTCGAGGCCATTGAAGAATGATCATGTCATTGGTGGCAACTGCCCACGGAGTCAGACAGGGAGGCCATCGAGTCGACGCGGGGGTGACGAAAGCTTTCCGACACTTCGGCCTTCGTCGCACCCACTGGTTTTCGAAATTACGCGTCTATCCCCGCTGCTCTTGACAGTTCGTTCCTGTATGTGGAGTACTCGTAATACTGAGCATGGGCTGGTTTGGTGAGCTGATTACTCGGCTGTCCCAGGAGCATACCCGAAACGTTTTGCGACTACCGTGTGCATTTCGAGCTACATGTAGACCAGTACCGTTGGACAAGCACAGTGGAGACGCGGGTGCGGGGTCGTGGGCTTTGCTTGAGGGGAGCTCGCCGTAGAGCAGGGATGAGATCCGGCATTCGAAGAGCGGGGTGATGGTCAGAATGTAGCTAAGGCGGGCGTTGTTAGTAGATAGGGCGGGGAGGACAATCACGCCGCGAGTGACTCTAGATGGTTGAACGTGTTTGCTTAGATGCGACATCATTTCAGGCGATACCGCGTCTGTATTTAACTCGATTCCAGAGGTTTCTGTTGAGCGATGTTCAGATATAATACTCCGCTATATGCATCTGAACACGCTGCTCTCAAGTGTCAGGCTATTCCACCCAGAAAAACAAAGCGTCCTCTAAATGGGGCCCTCGGCGTAGAAATATGTACAAGAACGCCGTGTACCATACGGATACGCCTGCTCGATAGGAACTTTGAGAATAAGAGCAGGTAAGTGCTCAATTTGAGGCAGCCAATAAGTATCGAGCCTTGCCCAATATGAGTGCTTATGAAGTGCGGGCGCTATCTGTAGTACAGCGGTCCTGGGCGCACCAGACCGCCTACAAGAACTGTACAACAAAAAGATAATGATGTGGAATTGTTCCAATGATGTACACGCGTAGCTATCCCTGCTTTTCTCTCTCTTCATGATCTCTATGATGATGACACACTTGTTTATCTCTTGGAAAAGCAGGGCTTGCTGTTGCTTTACTCAAAAAAAAGGTAGACTGAGCACAGAGGGGGAGGACATGTTCCCTCTGAAAGGGGCCACAAAGGTCCTGTCCCCTGCTTAGTCCTTCCATCGGGAGTTACATCTACCGTTTCCTGTGGGAATTTCTCCGCAATATCGTTGATACCGGCTACAATTCAAATCCCACACACTAGCCCACCCTGAAGGTTCTCATACGAAGATACTTGAAACCTAGGCACATGACAGCTAATTGTCGAATCCCAAAATGAAAGGATCGACAACCGTCAATTATTGTTATGGAAAGGGGAAAGAGATGATCCGAATCAGAGACATGCTGTGTGCTCAGGCCAAGTGCTGCTGAATGTAAGCATGTGCCTGACGTCATAACGTTCTACCATCCAACTTGTTGTTTCACATCTCGAGAGACGTTGCCATTCGTACATGCGAGAAACTCTTTACAAGAATCGTCTCCAAGTACAATACCACCCGCACCACCCGCATCATTTTTTCTTGCAATTTGTGTATCCCCCTATCAATACCCCCCCCACCCCCCCCCAAGGGGAAAATGTGGAGAGTGCTGAAGAAGATGACAGAGTGCACGAAAAGCGCGGTCATGCTAGACGGAGAACTGTCAAAATTCTTCGACATTGAGCAGGGGGTCCCACAAGGTTGCACGCTGTCCCCAACATTGTTCCAGGTGTTCAT